CCGCCAGGTCCCTCTGCCTTCCCCTCAGAGATGGGACCCAGGGTTGCTTTGACCACTGAGCCGCATCCCCAGCCCTTTTTATTTTTTTGATTTTGAGGCAGGGTCTAGCTAAGTTGTTTAGGGCCTCGCCAAGTTGCTGAGGCTGGCTTTAAACATGTGACCCCCCTGCCTCAGCCTCCCAGCCTTTGGGATTACAGGTGTGGGCCATCATGCCTGGCTCCAGCCCTTTTTATTTTCTGAGACAGGGTCTCCCTAAGTTGCCAAGGCTGGCCTTAAACTTGTGATCCTCCCAGGCACCAGACATTTATATACCTTACCTCAGCTAATCCCCACCACCCCACAGGGAAGATACTAGTATTAATTTGACAAATGAGGAAACTGAGGTTCAGAGATGTTGAGTAACTGGTCCAAGGACACATGGCAGTGGAGTGAGGTTTAAACACAGGTCTGTCTGATTTCATGCTCAGTGGTCTCTTCTTGGCCCCAGGGATCTCCTCTGCACACTGTAGTCTCAGTCCAGAGTGCGTGCTCGGCTAGTGTTGGAGAATCAGTATGGGGGTCTGCAAAGACCTGAGACAGGCCAGGTGCCATGGAGCACACCTGTAATCCCAGCAGCTCAGGAGGCTGAGGCAGGAGGATCTCTAGTTCAAAGCCAGCCTCACCAACTTAGACAAGCCTTGAACAACTTATCAAGACCCTGTCTTAAAATAAAATATAAAAAAATGGGCTGGGGATGGGGCTGGGTGGTTAGGTGCCCCTGGGTTCAATCCCTGTACCAAAAAGAAAAAAAACAACTTGAGGCAGCTAGGGGACATTTCCCTGGTGTCCAGCAGAGGGCGCCCTTGGGAGCCCCAGGAGAGCGTGGAGATTGGGTGTGGCTCATGGGACCCCTCAGGAGACTGTGCCCAGGGTTAGGGGAGCCTGGTGACTTCCAGAACGTTGACGGAGTTCTCACAGCTGCTTCCCAGGGGGGTAGAAGGGCCCCTGGAAAAATGTGGCCCAGCAACAAACGGAGGGAAAAGGCACAGGGAGTGGTGGGCCTGCAGGGTGACGGGGCCACCCACCCCCGTCCCTCGTGAGCACCGGGCGTTTGAGGTCAGCATTGTCAACCAGGTTCGGGCTGCTCGTGAGGAGGCATCCTCTTTGAAAACCATGGAGGACCAGCTCAGAGGCCTCGTCAGGCCCAGAGTGACCGCTACTCTCCTGTGCCCCAAGGAAGAGGCTGTGGGCAGCAGGAGGCTCACATTAGCCGGCCTCTACCTCTGGGACCTTTGCAGGGGTCCACTTACCTCCCCAGCTCCTCCGAGCACAGAAATGGGGGCTGGCAATAGGGGTCAGGGGACGGCGGCTTTCAGATTAGCCTCCTGGTTGTCCTTGCTCCAGCAAAGGGGCACCAGAGCCCGGATGCATGGGGGCCTGCTCAGTCTCAGCTGGGCCTGGCACAGGACCAGGGCTCCTTTTTGCATTCAGAGCCCATTTCCCTCTTTAAACTAGAGTCATGACATCTCAAAACGCAGTGCAGTGAGGAGGAAGGGAAAACCACCACCCACTGGGCACTTGCCATGAGCCACGCACTGATTTGTCCTCCTTCATGTGACGTCTCATTTAATCTTCACAACAACCCTAGGATAGGCTGTGTGTAATATTCCCTTTCTATAAATAATAAACTCAGGCCCAGAGAGGTCAATTAATATGCACAAGACCACACAGCTGGCAGCCCCTCCTTCAACTCCAGGTTGGTTTTTTTTTTTTTTTTTCTCTCTTCTTCCTTTTGAGACAGAGTCTCACCGAGTTGCTGAGGCTAGCCTTGAACTTGTGATCCTAATGACTCAGCCTCCCGAGTTGCTGGAATGATAAGCATGCATCTTTTTTGTCCCCTTAAATGGAGTCTCCTGTTCAAGCCCCAGCACTGCACAACAATCAATAAACAAAGACGGTTTGCTAGGCTGGCCCCAAAGCCCTGGGCCCAGGTGATCCTCTAAGTAGCTGGAGCTGCGGGCAGAGGGCTGCTGCACCTGCTGACTCCACGTCTTTGAGCTCCTGAAGGTACATGAGAGGGGGCTGTTGTTCCTCCACCTTCTCCCATCCCACCGGGCACCAGGTGGGTTCAGTGCCCTCCATGGTGCCCTCAAGGGTGGGCTGAGCTCTGCTCCGTCTGGGGAGCCCGGGGGAGGCGGTACACGTGGAGGAGGTGAAGGACGGGGACCTTTCGCCCCGGACACACACACAGGAGGCTGGCCCAGGGGAACAGAGGCAGCTGCCTTTATTGGTGGCCTTGGGCCGGCTGGTGTCACTCGAAGGCTAAGCACTTGATCTTGAAGTCGCCGTCCGCTGCCACATAGTTGATGGCCTCCAGGTTGAGGCGGTTGGGGAACTTGAACTCGTGTCCATCTGGCAGCTTGATGGTCAGGTCCGTCTGGTCAAAGGAGAAGAACACCTGGAGGTGGAGAGGGACGTGAGTCGGGCCGCAGCAGGACCCGGCCATGCTGACCCCGTGACCAGCCAGCGAGGGAGGGACCCAGGGTGGGGCCCAGGTCTAGAGACCCCAAACCCAGCCCCCCCCAGGGCCCTGCCCCCCAGAGGCACCTCCACGACACTCCCAGGCTGGAAGGGGAAGGCGGGCTCCCGGTGCTCGGCCCCCCAGGCCCCGCCATCCTTGCTGTTGCACACGATGGTGTTGGCGTCCCCGAAGGCGTTGAAGCGCGGGTTGAAGTGCAGACACAGGTTGTTGCTGTCTTTGCCCAGGTTCAGCACGAAACTAGGGAAGAACAGGTGAACTTGAGGGTACCTTGGCCAGCTGAGGCCACCTCTGGTCAGTCCCTAAAGCAGACCAGTCTGTCACCCAGTACACCACTACTGCACCTTGCTGGGAGTCTCATCCAACCAGACCAGAAATCCGTATTCTAGTCTGGCCTTGCTGTGTGACTTGAGCTAGTCTCTGACCCTCTCTGGGTCTCAGTTTGCTCGCTTCTGCAATGGGGGCTGCATAAGAAAGATCTCTAAGGGTTTTGCTGTGCTGATGGCCCCAGACTCTTGCAGATCTAACTTTGTGTGTGTGTGTGTGTGTGTGTGTGTGTGTGTGTGGTGCTGGGGCGTGAACCCAGGGCCTTGTGCATGTGGTATCCCCAGCCCGTGATCTAACCTTTTTGGTCAAGCTCAGGGACCCCCTCCAGATGGGGACCTCTGGGGGGGAAAGTGTCCTGCCTTGTACATTTCTGAATCCCTGTTGCCTAGCACTGAGTGGGACACAGCATATACTACCGCGAGAATGATCAGAGGCTTTTTGGGCTGGGGTGCGGCTCTGTGGCAGAGTGAGCCCTTAGCACATGGGAGACCCTGGGTTTCATTCCCAGCATCACGCAAAAAAAGGAAAAGATGGCTTTGCGTGGAGCGATGCGTGTGAAAAGAAATCACCGCCCTCACTGACATACCCAGCCTCTGTCCTCCTCCAGCTCACCCCTGCCCCCGTGTTTATTGATTAAGAAACTGAGGCCCAGGGAGGTTGGTTGACGGGGCCAAGGTCATCAGGCTGCTGAGAGGAAGGGCCCTGGATGAGCGCATGAAGGACTGAAGATACAGAAGGGTGGGCCAGGGACAGCAGCCCTGGGAAGGAGGGTCTCTAAGGGAGAGTGGGTGGCGCCCCCCCCTCTCCGGGCCCAGCCTCAGATCCTGCCCGGAGTCGGAAAGGGAGGGGGCTAGCCAAGGTAAAGATGGGGCCGCAGCTGGTTTAATTTAGAGGCTGGAGGGGGAGGGGGCGAGGATGGTGGGGGCGCCAGACCCGGCGGAGGAAGTGACTCACCCAGAAACGCAGCCAGCAGCTGGCCGCGGACCCGCTGGAGGAGCGGGCTTCCCGCCGGCCACGCCCACCCCGCGCCCCACCCTGGCCTCCGAGCGACATCCCCGCCATCGCCATCCCCGCCACCTCCCACCGCCACCTCCGTCACCCCTCACCTCTTGGCGTCGGGAGCCACCTCGCCGCGCACTCTGAGGCACTCTCCGGGTTTGAGGTTCAGGTTGCTGGCGACCAGACCCTGTGGCACACAAGACCCGCCCGCTGGGTTAGGGAGAGGTGGCTTCCTGGGGCGGCTGGGCGTGGCAGTGGGGTCTTTCCCACCCTGTGTCCTCTGACCAGGCCACCGGGAAGCCTGGGGGACAGGACAGGTGCTTTCAGGGAAAGCCCCTCACCCCACAGGGACTCTGGAACATGGGGTGCTCCCCACCACGGGCTCTGGATCTTGCCCTTGGGCTGCGGGACCTGGTTCAGAGCAGCCTGGGAGGCGGGGTTCAATGCCCCCCATTTAGCAGAGGCCACTTGCAGCGCTCCGGCCACTTGCCCAAGGTGACACTGGAGGGGTCTGTCCCTCTGCTGGAGAAATGGCCTGGGGCTACAGCAACCTCCCCGATCATCCGGGTCAAGCTCCTCTCTGCAGAGAGGTGCAGGGGCCAAAGAGGACACCGAGGACTATGGCCAGGTCCTTCTGCAGGAGGGAGAACCCCCAAAGATTAGGGCTGCCCCTCGGGATGGTTCAGGGTTAAGGAGACTGACCAGGACGCTGGCCACTGCCTGGCACTATGAGCAGGAGTTAACTGGAGTTGAGGTTCCTTCTGCCAGAAACTTGAAGCCTTCCCTAGAGGCCTAGGGACACTCCGGCCTCCCCTTCCCTCCCTCACCAGCCCCTTCAAGTGGGATTCCCCACCCCGACCTGGTCAGCCCAGAGGAACCAGCCCACCCCAGGCCCCAGGAGACCTCCACCAGCAGCCCCCTGGCTCCTGCAGACTTTTTAGAGCTCTGGAGCAGAGGGTGACTTGGCCCTGGAGCAGTGACTGGAGACAGCTGCAGCGGGGGAGGGGACACGAGGCTCTGGAGTGCAGGAGGGGGAAAGGACAGTGGCCTGGACCAAAGTGCCCCCCCACTGTGGCCACACCCTTCAAACTCCCACTTCTCCGAGCTGCAGAATTGAGCTGCAGAATCGCAGAATGTGGGACCTTGGCAGAACCAACTCCACTGCCCCACCCTGGAGCAACTAGAAAATTCTTAAGCCACAGAAGGCCCTGGGGGACCAGGCGCCCACCCCCATTTTACAGATGTGGCCACCGAGGATCAGAGAAGAGAAGGCACTTGTCCAAGGCCATACAGCTGGGACTAGAGCCGCGCTTCGGAATGGCCCTGCACTCCCTTGATCATCTGCTCCCCGCTACCCCCAGTCCTTGGGGTGGGGGACCCACACTCACACAAGCCATAGTGAAGCCTAGAGGGTGTCCCGGGGTCTGCTGCAGGGCTGTCAAAGGACTCCTCCGAGAGACGGGCCCGGCCGCTCCCACCCTTTTAACTGGACCGACCCGCTGAGTCCCGCCCCCTGGAAGCTCAGCCAATTGCAAGTCAGGACTGGGATGGGGGCCACCAAGGCGGGGTCAATGGAATTTCTAAATCAATTCTGGAGCAGAGGTGACCAATCAGAGTGGCGATTCCCCTCCCTCCTTCCTAGCCACGCCCCCAGGGTCCCACTCCACCTCCTATCCTTCATCCGCCCCCCCATCCCCCAAAAAAACTTATGCGGTGGCAGAGATTGGGGGGAGCCAACGGAAAATAGTTTGAGGATGAGCTAGACCCAAAAGTTGGCGGGAAGGGCCTGAGGCCGGCAGCTGAGCACAGGGGGCGCCCAGAGAAGAGGGGGCGCCCAGAGAAGAGGGCTGAGGGGCGCAGGATGCGCCTGGGAACTAGAGCTGGGGAGGAAGAGGCTGCGACCTGGGAGGGCCAGGGCGCGGCTCCCGCTAAGTGCCACTGAAGCGGGCTAGGGCCCGTGGCCACGAGGCCCTGGCCCCACCCGTCCCCGCCCCCAGCCCCGGAAGCGGTGCCTGCAGCTGCCGCACTCGCTGCTCACTTTGAGCTAAAGAAAGGCTGGGCCCCGCGCCAGGGCTGAGGCTGTCAGCTGAGGCCTGCACCTCGGGTTGCCTGGGCGCAGGGGGCGGCCGGGGATTCTCTGAGAGTCGCTGTCCCCGGGAGCGCAGGCCTGGGAGGCGGCCCGCGGTGCGGCTAGGCCCTGAGGGTTGGGGTCTCCACTCTGTGCAGCCCTGCTCCTCCCATCTCCTGTCTGAACCAGCCTCCTCTTCCCCACGTGCACAGCAGATATTCTCCTGAGCACCTACTGTGTGCCTGTCCCAGCTCCGACCTCAGAGGATACAGAGAGGAGCCCCTCCTAGTCCCTGTCCCTCCCTAGGAGCCCATGGTTGGGGTTAGGCAGAATCTGACCAAGAAGCTAGTGAAGAAACCCGGCGGTTCTAAGGCGAGTGGGATGGAGAAAGGGAGGCAGGTGGTCTCAAAGTGCGGCAAAGAAAGACTGGCCTTCCCCCAGGTCACAGGCCTGAGGACAGGGAGCGTCTGAGCATGAGGAGAAGGTGGGGGGCGAGACTGGAAGAAAGCCAACTGTACCCGCTCATGAAGGGCTCGTGGGCCAGGTAAAGGGCTTGGCAAGTTTCATCGGAGGGTACTGGGGAGCCACGGAAAGTTGTAGGGAGGGTGAGTATTGAGACTAGACATGGGATATGGGGAAGGTTTCCCCAGCAGAGTTGAGGGGGCCTGCGGGCAGTCACCTCACATTCGGGACCCAGTGAAGGGAGGCCAAGGGGACCTGCTCTGTGTGGCCACCCCCCTTCTAAACTGACAGCACTGAAGAGGGAGGGAGATGCGTCGAGGAGTGAGTCACATCTGGAGGCCAGGCCAGCACCACCCACCCCTCCCGGCCTCCCCAGCCGAGCCCCCACACCCCCACACCCCACTTTTGTCCAGATGCCTGAAGCCCGCCCCGGCACCAGAGGACAGGGGTGTGTGTAGGGCCGCCCTCTGTGTGGGGGACCCAGAGAAGGGGGCTGCACCCAGGAGCCCCTTCCCTCTCCCCAGGCCAGTGTCGCCTGCTAACCCAACCACAGAAGCCTCACTTTTTCCTGTGTGCCTCCCCCAAACCTCAGTCCTAGGGAGGGGCCGCCGGACCAGCCCAGCTCCACTCCTCTCCCAGAGATGCACCCTGCCACGTCAGAACGGGCTCAGGAGGTGCCCCACACAGAGGACCAGCCGAGCTCTGGGCAGGGCGCCTGTCCCAGCCAGGAGTTGGGATCTCAGGTCCTGGGAGCTGCTCGCCCAGTCTCACCTGACCTGGAGAGTGGCCAGCACCAGGGAATGCTGGCTCCTGGGCAGGGACGGGTCACTTCCGTCAGGGTCCAGCAGCGTGGCCGAGGGTGCAGGTCTCCAGGAAGGCCCCACTGGGCTCTGGGGACTTGGGTTCTGCTTCTAACCCTGTTGTGCTCCCCACCCCCAGGAAATCCCAGCTGCCCGGGCTCCTGGCTTGCCTCAGTCTCCCCATCTGCAAACTGGGCCTGTGGAATGCTGCTCTCCTGCGGAGGAGGGTCACACAGGGCCTGACTCAGGTCAGTGACTCAGGCATCTCAGGTTTCAACTTGCCCCTGGCCCTTAGGGCCCTTTCTCCCAGACTGAGTTTATCTTCCTGGGGGATCTGCGAGGACTTTCCCTCTGGTTCCTAACACGGATAACTGGGCTTTCAGGGAGACAAAAGATATCCATGCCTGGCTCAGAAGCCCACGCCTGTAATCCCAGCGTCTTGGGAGGCTGAGGCAGGAGGATGGAGAGTTCAAAGCCAGCCTCAGCAACAGCAAGGCGCTAAGCAACTCAGTGAGACTCTGAATCTAAACAAAATACAAAATAGGGCTGGGGGTGTGGCTCAGTGGTCCACTGCCCCTGAGCTCAATCCCAGGTACTCCCTCTGCCCCCCAAAAAAAGAGAGACCTTTACTAGAGACCCAGATCTCCCAGCATGCCCAGCCCTTTGGTTAGATGAACAAAGTCTCCAGATCAACTAGAACAAAAGCCCAGTCAATTTAAATGTCACCAGATTCAAAGACCTAGCAGGGAGCCCACAGCTGATTTCAGGCTGGACTGCTCAACCAGGAAGCAACATTCTGAACCCAAATATCAAAGGGTTGATGTGGGGTTTAATGTTCCCAGAAGCTTGCTGGAAAGTCGTACTTTTCTTCCCAGGAAAACCCTACGTATAGTCAGATAGATAGCTCTGCCCTAGGACATCGCTCTCTTCCCTGAATGAGGGGTCTCTGCACCCTGCTTTGGGGTATGTATACCTTTGCTGTGTTTTATTTTTATTTAAATTTTTTTTTTATTTTTTTTTTTTGGTACTGGGGGTTGAACCCATGGGCACTTAACCTCAGAGCCACATCCCCAGCCCCATTTTCATTTTGTTTAGAGACAGTGTCTCACCGAGTTGCCGAGCACCTTGCCATTGCTGAGACTGACTTTGAACTCGCCATCCTCCTGCCTCAGCCTCCCAAGCTGGTAGGATTACAGGTGTGTGCCGCCACACCAGGTCTGCTTTGCTGTTTTTAAACAAATCTTTGCTTGTGACTTGCTCTTGGTGTGTCTCAACGTGTCTTTTCAGCAGTGTAAGCCAAGGGCCTGCCTGGAGGAGTGGAGGACCCACTGCTCCCCTGGGAAGGGTCTTCACAGATCCTGGGACATTCCTTTGGCAATCCAGATGGCACTGAGGAGCCACCCGTGGTGAGTTGAACTGAACGCTTTCTCTCTTT